CCCACACACACACACTTCCAGGTAATTATTGCACAGTCCCTAACTGAACGTCTGGAAGAGGCTATTCCATTTCGTGGGTTTGCTCCGACGTGAGCCTGCTCGCAGGCTAATATTTGTGTCCCGGATTGAGTGGAGGTTGTGCTGTTCTTCGTGAGACCGTATGGTGAGCTAGGACAGTACCAAATTTCACTTGATGCAGTCACATATACTTACTCTCTATACTAATTTCAGTTAGAGCTCCTTTAGAAATAGTGACACTTTCGATACAGGCCTTTACAGTTCTTAAACTTTCAAAAGAAAATAAAAATTGAAACCGATAACGTAGAAAAATGTCAACATGTCGGGCATAGCCCTTCTTCACTGCCACAGAAGATATGCTTTTGTGAGTTTTCACGGGATGACACTGACATTTTTCCACGTTATCAGTTTTCAATTTTTATTTCCTTTTGAAAGTTTATACCCATGTAAGTGTCTCACGCATCAACTGTGGATAACTTTTTTGCTTCGTTTTTTTTTTTTCAGCCTACACATTTTTACAGTTCTTGACGATCGTTTTTTTTCCCGCGCCTGCGGGACTTCTTGCGAATGAACCCGCCACTAGCGTCACGTGACAACATCCCATGATACTATTCTCGGTGTTATGGCTGCAGAAGAGTCTTCAAAAGTGACGTTGCTGTGAAAAGCCGGGCTGAATCTACGGTTATTTCCCTAATATTGCAACCCTTTGTTGTCAAAACAAACGTTCTTTTCCTTTTTAAAAGGCAGCATTTAGATATAGGACAATCCAGGGACGAGATTCGGGGCCATGGCGGCGAATATGTACCTGGAACATTACCTTGATAGTAAGTACTGAATCCCGCCACAATTCGACCATTTCACCCTTATTTGCATTTGGTAAAAAAACTAATCGATCTACCTATCGACAGCTGTTGAAGGTTTGTGTTCTTTTGCAAAGTTAACACGTTATGTCGAACCGCAAAGTCGTTTATAGATTGTGGAATCTGATTGAGCTATAAAGCTAAAATTTGGTACTGTGTTAAATTCGTGTGGTAAATGCAAGAATCTCACTTCAATGATTAGTAGCTAGTTATGCTTAAGAGCTGTGTTTAATATCGACTTGATTTCAAGTAAACTTGAGGCTCATTTCCATGTTGATTAACTACGTCCGTTTACATGTATATTGCTGTATTTGTATATAATGTAATCATCGACTTTAAAAGCTCTCACATTTATTGAGACTTAAATGTCAATGACAACAGACGTGTAAGGGGTTTCCCCCGTAAAATTTACAAATTACGGCCAGCTTTTTATGCGTCTGCCCTCTTATGAGTGATAAATTTTATCATAACACTGTCAAAATAGCTCAGTGGAACTAGAAAACATAGCCAAAGGATCAACAGGCTCATTTGACAATTACGTTACATGTTTGAATTTATTGTCACTAAGAGGACAACCAAAAAAAAATCAAAACAATTAGTGTCTACTTCAAAATGCTAGGTAAAAGTGTTAAAGAACCAAAATATGTTCTAGCCAAAATGATTCTGAAATTCACGACATCATGAACTTTAAACTACATACAATAACTTGAGGCTTGAATAAAAAAACTGAATTTCTATAACTATCCTTTATTCCATTCCAAAATTCTTGTTAGCATTTTGAGTTATTGCCAACTTTAGTCCACTCCCATAAAATTATTTTGAACACAGCAAAATAAACCAGTTATTCTATTCACAGGTCTACATCAAACATTGACTAATATGAGTTTTTCACACTATAGTCAGTTAGTGTAAACGCGGACTACAGACTGTAGACCGGGAGTAAAATGCAGACTGAGGGTAAAATATAGACTGTAGACTTTTTAACCGAATCGGGTTATCATTTCCATCGTTGAGAGCTAACCAACAAGCTAACCTAAGCATTATTCAGGCTAACCTAAGTGATATTCAGGCTCACCATACCCAAATTCACAATTAACCAATCAGAAGCTGTGTCTACTCTCCTGATTTCCTGCAATCATGTATCACCCTGAATTTTTCTATTAAATTGCATCACACTGAATTTCTTTAATCAATCACATCATGTAAAAAGGAATAAGTACACTAAGCTAATATTTAAGCTAATGTAAGTATGATGATCAATCATGTCCTCATATCTTTCTCTGGAGTGCAAATATACAATCTTTCATATATTCACTTGTATTCTTCACCATCTTCGGGTATATTACGAACTCACAAAGTGACCAGCTCCCAGGTGGTTTGATAGCTCAGTTGGTGGAGCACTGCACCGGTATCGCAGAGGTCATGGGTTTAAATCCTGTTCAGGCCTGAATTTTTTTCAGGCTTTAATTTCACAACTGCTTAAGTTGTATGTATAACTGCAATGATCAATCATGTCTTCATATCTTTCTCCGCAGTTCAAATATATAATCTTTCATATATTCACTTATAAGCTAATATTGTAAGATTTCAACCTATCAGATATATTAGTGAACATTATTATGTTGCATCCAATGTTTTTTATTGCAGAATAATAATAATAATAATACTAATAATCGTATCTATAACAAAATTCTTGATCGTGATTGGTTCTCTGCGCACCTATTTGTCATGTAATCGGCACGCAATTACATGGGTGTCCAATCACAGGTATACAATTTGAACTTTTTGTAATTGGATACCCACGTGATTCCCATGTCAATTACGTCGCTTTATTGGCTTCCTTCGCAATGTTTCCTACAGCTTTCAAAACTTATGAAAAGTGCTACAGACGTGTTCGCTCAAAAGAATTTTTCTAAAGACATTTTAATTCCCAAATTTGTTAATAAATAGATACTATTAATTAGTAATATTTGGAGTGCACCTCGTGTAGTACAATTCAGTAAGAAATCATACTTCTAACTTCAAATCGGCCTTGAGCTTTGCGCTTGTCCGATTTTGAAATTACTCGCGCAATTTCTCCCTGAATTGTACTCCACTCAGTCTAGTTACTATTACTACTACTGCTACTACTGCTGCTGCTGCTGCTGATACTGATACTGATTGTCTAACTACCATAGACTTCTGGAGTTTTATAAACGTACATTAAACTCAGCCTGACTAAACTTTCAATAGCCTGTAAAAGGTGGGACAAAACTTGTGATGACATCATCTGTCTGTCAGTGAAAAGTGACCAATTAGCAGGCAAGAAATTTGCAGTGATTGTAAAAATTTAAGTGAGTTGTGTTTTTGTTGTGATTCATACCATGCATTGTTTTATCACTCAGGTATTGAGAACCTTCCATTTGAACTTCAAAGGAACTTTACTCTTATGAGAGAACTTGACCAGAGAACTCAAGGTAAGCTAAACTAGCTTATTAGCTAGATGGAAGAAAACAATTTCTTTACAAATTCAAGCAACTCCCCTGCACAGATGTACCCTCCATTGGCACAATTTTTTGTCACATGGTGGCACAAGCACTCCTCTCAACTTAGGTAGATAGATAGATAGATAGATAGATAGATAGATAGATAGATAGATAGATAGATAGATAGATAGATAGATAGATAGATAGATAGATAGATAGATNTAGCTAGCCTTTATTTTAAAATGATGAGTAATAAAGCTAAAAAGCTTTTGGGGTCATTTGTACTTAAAGCTAAACTATTTATAAACTATAGCTAGAAAAAACTACATTGAAAATCTAAAAATCTAAAATCAAGTATATACAAACTCTTCGAATCTAAAACTACAAGTTGACAGAGATATCACCTTGAAAGTTAAAAAGTCATTAAAAATGTCTGAAGAGTTAATTTTCAACCTAAGGTCACTATATCAAGGCTATCATGTTTGTATGTTTTAGTATGTCACAGGGTTGAACCTCTGTACGGTACAGAATCTTTCATGTCAATGAGTCGCTTGCCCATTTAATAACTTAAAACCTGCTCTTTTGGATCACTTAAAATGTGTGGCAATCTGTGAACATGTTTTCTATTGTTGACAGCAAATTAAGGCAAATGAGGTGTTGAGGTAAAGTTCACAGAAAGGTGACCAGCAAAAGGAGTTATTTGCCCCCTTCTGGTTAGAATTCCTTGTGTGAACTTATCAAGACTATTATTAATGTAAATGATATTAAGATATTTACAGATTTTTCAGTGCAAATCCTTCCCTGTTAATAAGAACTTATTTGAGTTATATATAAGCTTAATAAATTTTATGAATCAATCATTTGTTTCTTGCGAGGGGGACATTGGAGATGGATTTCTACTCCTGCAATCTTGTTTCATTTATAGTGTTGTAAATCCCCTTCTAAAATGCCTTTGGAATTGGTCTCATTTAGAAGTACAAATTGCATGTTGGCTGAGGAACATAATGTATTAGGCATATTGTAGGACAATGAAGTTTAATTGTAGAACTTTGCCCTTGGTACCTGGTCTCAAAATATAACCCTTCTCTCCTGTATACAAACTGTGCTCTTCCACTGTTGAGTTTTACATCCTTCTTCAGAGACATCACACAGGATTGGTCCCTTGCACATTCCTGTCAGGTATCATAGGAATGTTACTTGAGAAGTTCTTAACTTCTAATAGGGATTATAAATTGTGATCAAGTTAAACTCTTATTTAAATTGCTGCAAAATGAACCTGTAGTATGTAGTTAAGAGTGTTGGCACTCAGGAATCTTATTAAGATCTAAACATCTTTGTTCATTAATGACCTTGTAAGGTCTCCTTAGATTCTAAGGAAACTCAATCCTAAACTCAAATGTTGATTGGATTACTTAAGCCTGACTTACCAGGCATGGTCAGCAGCACGTTAGGATTTGGAGGATTACCCTCCATGTAAAAGTTAAACTGCTTTTAGAAATAGTTCTTATTGTTCTTCAGCAGTAATGTTTTCCTCCACTTTACTCAAGTACCTACACATCTTTCACCTGTTCTGGTGTTGTCAGAGGCTTGAAAAAGTGCAGAAAACAAAAATTAAGTCATAACTTACATGAAGGGAACCCTGTCTACGTGCCTGTAGGCTGCCAGCTGGCTTGCAGCCAAATGTTAATCCAATCAACATTAAGAGTTTCAGATCAAGTCTTGTTTTGAATATTTGAACTCTTAAAGTTTGAAATAAGGATTAGAACAAAAGTTCCTTTAATAAATTCCTTCTGTCATTAAAGAGAGGAAAATGTAAATTTAGCTGCTTTAGGCTTCAACAGAAGTTTTCTCACTTTCACCAGCAGCCCATAAATTATAGCTGTGTATTACTGTTCTTAGAAAAGCTATGATACAAATAAAATTATGGTAAACTCAAAACACATTACAATTGAACATTAATAACATTTTTGCTACTTTACCTGAGCAGCAAAATAATGTTGTGACTGTTGATTATTAAGTAAACGATAACATACATTTGTATTGTTAAACAGTGAGCGTTGAATGTTTAAGAAAGCTAGTAACATTTTGTCATGTTGTGAGGCAAATTATGTACAGAATGATACAAACTATTTTGTCCACGAAGTTGCACCTTACTGTTTGATATAAGGAAACATTGAATTATTTGCCTGTCACTGTTTTATTTTTAATTTTTGTCTGAGTATGATAAAAATTCAGAGGTGGACTACTCTTACATGTCAGGCCATGCAGACCAGCAAAAGAAAGTTCACATTAGAGAGTTTAAGCATGACATTTACAGCAGATAGAAAACGGCAGAGATTACGTCTGATTTTTTATTTTGTCTTGTAATCCTCAAATAGATGACAGAAAAATAGAAAAATGTCTCCTACTATTCAGCACAAATACAAATATTTTCACTCTTCTGTACAGACAGCTGGAGACAGACGGCAAAAGTTTAATTTTTGCTGTTTGATGTAACATCAAACTTAATCTCTCTGTTACGTTTTTTTTAATGGAATTTTGTGAGTGGGCATTGGCCATACTTTCATGTATTCTTGTTATAAACAGTAGCTTACATTTAGTTGCCTGGTTTTGATTTATAGATCTGTCAAAGGAAATAAACACAATGTCAGAAGAGTATATGGCTAATGTGCGGAGTATGGATGCTGCTAATAGGACATCGCACTTGAAGAAGATTGAAAATGCTTTTGTTAAGAGTCGTGAATATGGGGATGATAAAGTTCAGCTTGCCATGCAAACATATGAAATGGTCAGTAAGTACACTTGTTTTTCTTTGCATGACCATGGTTGCTCAACATCTAGTTTCTCCTGACTAAACAGTGAATGTGGAATCTTTTTGCTGAAACACATACCCAGTCTTGAAAACTGAGAAACTGGGATGACAGTTGAAGCCTGCTATTTCCAACTCTCAAAGAGAATAAAAAACAGTTTGAGGAAGGAAATGGCTGAAAAAGCATATCAAAGTGAAAATGGCATCAATTTGAGATACATGAACATTGCAGAGAGAGTGAGATATAACTAAGTTTGAGATCATCATTATCATGTCCTTTTGCCTACAAGGGAAATAGGGCCTTAAGTTTGAGATAAGTAGTGAGGTTTAAGGACGTTCACACGAACATTTTCCATTCAATAGAATTTTTTTCACATTTTTACTATAGTCAGATAATGAGTTACGTT